TGATTGTTCAATAGTGAGCTACGGATCCTGCATTAACTCAAACATGTTCTTGCATTCTGCAGCATTCAAAACCAAAGATACTACCCCTAAGTTTGTCTATTATTTAGTAAAGGTTCTTCGAGAAGCTGAGAATACCATTCCATACAATGAGACAACTTTCACACTATATCCCTTGGTTTCAGTAGTTTCTTGTTTTTGCATTTCCCCTACCTGGACTATCTTCTTCATGGCCAGAGATTATACAGGTATTTTATTTCTTGTCCCAGATTAACTTTTCCCTTTGATAGTGGCCCTGAGTCTAGAGGCCATGGCTCAGACTGACCCAAATCTGAGGTTGGCCTAGTGTCAGGATCCACAACACTCTCTTTTACTTTCATTTTAGCTATTAGAGATAACAATAAGCAATGGATTGTATATGTAGCTTGTTTCTTATTAGTTTGCCTTATGTATTAATGAACCAATTCCTCAGGAGTTGGGTCTACCATTTCTAAATTCCATTGGTAACTTTTACCTATAGTAACTGGGTGATACAAATGGTTAAGCATTGGACTACTGACCAAAAGACTGGTGGTTCAAACCTACCCAGAGGCACCTCAGAAGAAAAGCCTTAGCCTTCAAAAGATCACAGCCTTGAAAACCCCGTAGAATACAGTTCTACTCTGTACACATGGGGTCACCATGAGCTGAAATCAACCATGGCAACTAACAACAACTGATCACAGCACAACTGCAGTTCCACACCATGGGCTGCTAGCCTTTCAGGAGTCAAAGGTTTGTCAACCCTGCCTCTCATCCTTCCTCTTCCCAAGCCACATGTTTCAGTTAGTCAGGGTCATTCTAGCGAATCCCACCTCTGATGTCAACTACAAAGTTAGGGAACAGTCCACAAGACCACCCTCACTTCTGACACTAATTGCAAATTTTGGGGTCTCCAAGACCACCCTCAAGTTCCATAATTCCCTGGAACTCTTTCTTGTTTATAATGTTGTATTGCTCAGTTTTTTTCTTATTTATTAACCTAGCCTATGTTTGTGTCAGAGCTTCAAACCAGTTCTTCCTAGTTCAGTCATAGCCAAGGAGGTGATACCGGAACACACCTCAATTTGTAAAATTTGGGTGACCTGGAACCATAACCAGAACAGAAAAAATTACTGGTCCAAACCTGGCGAAAAACTTAATCTCGCTCTTAGAAAACAAGGGCAGGATACACACTGCACAGCAACCAAATCTCTTGCCCATCGGATTCTGTGCAGAGTCAGAAACAGTGATGCCCAGCTCAAAGACAGCAGCCGACGGCTCTACTTTGAATGTGTGTCGCTCTCCTCAGTCCTGCCAATAATCCAATCTCATGCATGAGGCTCCTGAAAGAGCTGACTACGCCTCTTCTGAGTCTCCCATTCCAGGGCGTCGACCTGTTAATTTTTCCCGTTCTGGTTCTGGTTCCAGTTCACCCAAATTTTAAAAATTCGGGTCTTTTCCAGTTTCGCTTCATCAGCCTTGACTGAGACAAGTTCACACTGGTTCAAAACCCTGGCTTGTGTCTTTTCTTCATCATTTTAAAAATCCAGTTCTTGAATTCATTTTATTCTTTAAAAGTTATAATTTTTTTATCGTTATTAATTCTTTCCATATTTCAATTTTATTGTACTTTTCTTAGATTCTTACGTCAAATAGCCTGGACAGGAACCACTCATGACATTCCACAGGCAACTGAAAATAAACTGCTGTCATTATCTATCCCGAGAACTAAACAAGCAGTTTAGCATTAAGTTGGTCTACTTAGATTTTGAAGTAGTTCCAACTAGAACTACTATTGGCTCTCATCCATAAAATAATCCATAAGAAGGTCATATTTGAACGGGGCCATTAACAAAGGCAAGCCATGGCAGAATTGCAAAAGGTGTTGTCTATGACCATGTCCCGTGTCATCCGCCTACCTCTGTCCCTGCAGCTTTGGGCGTCTGTGATCCAGACATGGTTTTCAAAGTGTTCAAAATGGACTTACCCAGACTGGAGTTTATGGCAAAACCCTGTGTGTGCTACCCAGCAACAACCGCTGGAATTTTGGACCAGAAAATTTCCAGATGCCACGGTATGGTACACCCCACTTGAGAAACAATTACTAACTTGCTACATTAATTCAGACAGTTCTATGACTAAAGGACATAAAATAATCCTGAAACCTGAAATACCTATAATGTCTTGGGTGATGTCAGAGAAAAGCTCTTAATAAGGAAAGCAGTACCCAAAAGAATTCCATAAGAGAATGGAAATCGTTTATGCAGGAAGAGATTGCGGGGGGGCGTGTACAAGGAGAGCTAGTAGCCTCTTTTCCCCTAGGGCCAACTCTGAAATCTCTTGCGGTCACACAGACTGACCAACAAAGAGCTGCTTCATTTATAGATGGCAGTTTCAAGGTGAACATACAGCATCCTGTCTGGAAGGACACCACTCTAGAAGAAGGTAAAAACAAATCAGCCTCAGTGGTGTGAATTTCATGCTATTTCACCCTATGTCTGAGATTTTAACAGACTTTGCAGATGGTGTCAGAAATGAGGATGTCTTGTGGACTGTTCACTAACTTCATGCAGATGATGAAGAGAAAGACACTGGTAAGATTCAGTGATGTATGCTATACTAAACACTTGGTTGCCACATCTTTCTCCTGCAGGTGGCTGGTGGGTTTGAATTGCCAACCTTTTGGTTAGCAGCCAAGCACTTAACCACTGAGCCACCAGGGCTCCTTAATAAACACTTGAACTTTGACTATGGAGGACCACTGAAGGATGTTAGGAAAGGCAATTATACTTTAGCAAAACAATCCTAGCAGCAATGTGGACAGAACGAATTTCAAATGGTAAAACCGGAAGCGAAGAGACAAGCTGTGAATTTGTCATAATGACAACAATCTAGGCTTTTAAATCCAATGACATGGGATCTGCAATAGTCCATCCAGGAAAAATATAATAGACATGTGAACTAAAGAGGAAGGAGAAAACATTCAAGAGATAATTATGACTGGGATACAAGTGGTGAAAGAAAGGGAAGGATCATGATTATTACTTCTAGGGGATGTGGAGTTGAAGTTATTCTTTTGTGGAAAAAAGTATACCATCTTCCTTTTCATTGTGTCTCAGCATCAATGAAAAAAGCTGTAAGAAATCTAAGTATTCAAAGATCTGACTGGAGCTATGAGAAAGGGAATCTAAGGTCTTACTGAGATTATTAGCAAAACTAAGAAATGGTGAAGCATCTCACAACATGGATGAATCCGGAGCGCATTATGCTTAGTGAAATGTCAGTCACAAATGGACAAATATTATATGACACCAATATTAGAAGAACTTAAGAAAAAGTTTACACACAGAAAAAAGCATTATTTGATGGTTACAAGGTGGGGAGGGAGAAAGAGGGGAAATTACTAAGTAGATAGAAGACAAGTGGCAACTTTGGTGAAGAACAACACACAACATAGAGGAAATCAGCACAACCGGACCAAAGCAAAATCAGATTTTAAAAAAAAAAAAAAAAGGTAAGAAATGATCCAATGATGAAGACATCCACAAGCTGAGATATTTGAGAGGTGCCTCAAAAAAGAACAAAAACTAATACTTTTATGTGGTCAAATAAGTCTAAGATATTCCATATACTGTATTCAGTGTATCTATATTCTCTACACAACACAGGAGACAATGAACATACAGATTAAGAAGAGATCTGGAGTTCCACTACCTGTGTTCAAATCCTGGCTCTACCACTTAATGTAAGACCTTGTAGAGATTACTAAAGCTTTCTGTGGGTAGACTCTCACTTTAAAATAGTAATAATGGTACCTAATCCTTATAGGTAGTTGGTATCAATGAAATGAACATAAAGCATTGAGAAAAGTGCCTGGAACAAAAATTATTAAGTGTTAGCTATTATGGTTAAGTACTTGGCTACTAACCAAAAGGTCGGCAGTTCAAATCCACCAAACGGCTCCGTGGGAGAAAAACCTGGCACTCTGTACCCGTAAAGATTACAGCCTAGAAAACCCTATAGGACAGTTCTACTCTGTCACATGGGGTCACTGTAAGTCAAAAATTGACTCAACAGCACTTAACAATTAGATTATTATATCCCTTCTTAAGAGAATTCTAATGAACAGTACATTAAAAGCTCTAAGAAATCATACAGTTAAGAAACCCATTTAAAGCGTGATTAACCCAACACCTTTGACAGTAGATTCATAAAACCTATTTTCATTCATCTAGTAGAATTGTTCTAAGAAAAACACTTTAGAAAAAGCTGGACTATAAGTAGACAAAGCCATCTTTTTAACTATAATAAATAAATGGCATGGTGGCTGGGAAAATTTATTGGAGGATTTTGTTATACATCTGACATGGAATTTGGGGAAACTCACTGGAAGATGTTGTTATACACCTGACTAAAAATCTCAGTACAGTTCCAGAACACTCTGACCTAAAAGACTCATGGAAAGTGAATAGTATTGAATTCTGAGGGTAAAACAGGATTGAAGTACAAAGCTATGGTTGCTTAGATGTTTACAATTCCTGAAGGTTTTCTATAGACTCTATATCTAACATAAACGCAGTATATTTATGCTTTGATGTTAAAATGGATAACAGTTAGCCATACCCGTGGGAATATCACCTTTTCAGATTACAGGTCTACAGCCTAAATACCACAATACACTATAAAAAAGCTTATCTAAACCAGAGGCATAGCAAGAAAAGAAGTAATACAATGCTGTTCTTGCAAACCCAAACCCACATAATGATACATTTTTAACAGGAATTCATAAAACAACTGGATATGAATGTGAAAACCATTAAATAATTTACATAAATGTATGTTGTTTTAAGAAATAAAATACATAAAATTTAGATTTATAATCCTAACAAAATTATGCAATGAAAATTTACTTTAAGGAAGAATAATTAGTTTTACAAGAGGTTTTTACTATATTTCTTGGTAAGTAATTATGGTTTCTGTACCTATGTTCTTTGTGCTCCAATAGCTGGCAGTCTCTACATGTCAATCTATCACACGTTTCACAGAATAGTTTCAACTGTTCTTGTTTGTGTACAGGGCAGAAAACAGGGCGCTGACCAGATGCTCCAACAGACTCTGCAGCAAAATAAACCAAACATTTTAAACTAAATATAAAATTTTTGTCTAATTTGTCAATTCTTATTGGTATCCAAAATTTTAAAGAATAAATAGAAACAATGGTACAGGAGCAAAAGAGAGAGATTAATAGTAGTAACTAAAACTGCTTTTTATCTTACCTGAGACATCTTCTTTTTTCCTGATCAGGTGATCTTTAGTGAATTTTACTCTTTGATGTGCTTCTATACATGTCTTACATAGCCATTCTCCACATTCTACACAAAAGCCAACTGCACTCGCATTATCTTCACAACTAGTACATACCTAAAATAAAAAATACGTACATACTAATCCACACTAAACTTACACAATGAAGATCCACAAAAAGAAAAGGTTAAAACAGTCTCATTTAACCCAGTTTGAAGGTACACAATAAAGCTATTCATTTCTAAAAGACTATTTTCAAATTGAAATATGGAACTATAGTAGAATTACTCCATTATGTAACTATCCAAACATGTTTTACGTTTTGGTATCAAGATAGGAATAGAAAGAAAAATTGAGAAGCATACCTGTTCTGATTTCTCATCAGAACTGCTAGGAGCTTCAGATGTATCTTTCACAAAATAATTATCCACAAGGTCTATTTGTCTGCATTCTTGGCGGCATACTGGGCACCGAATTACACCAACTACAACACAAAATGACAACAGTAAGAAATATTCTTCAGGAAAAGTTAAGGAAATTGTGCATGATGCCCATATGGAAATGACTCACTCATATGGCAAAGACAAGACCAAAGAAATTAGATCAGGAGCTGAATAAAATAGCTCATTGAGTTATTCCATTTGGGGGAAAATGATACCCTATTTAGGAAGAGGAAACAAGCATTAATAAGGAAAAAAAAAGTCTTCTTTATTATACTTGGTGGTTGGCTGAACAATGGCGCCCAAAGATAACCAGGTCCTTATCCATGAAACCTGTGAATGTTACCTTATATGACAGTAAAAGTTGCCGATATGATCAAGGATCGTGAGACAGGGACTATCCTGTCTTATCTGGTGGACCCTAAATGTAATCATAACTTACCTTAACCAAACCAAACCTGTTGTCGTTGAGTCAGTTCTGACTCATAGCAACCCTATAAGACAGAGTAGAACTGTCCTTCCAAGGAGCGGCTGGAAGACTCAAACCGCTGACCTTTTGGTTAGCAGCCGAATGCTTAACTACTATGCTACCAGGGCTTCAACTGACCTTAGGCAGAGTGATAACAGACTACAGAAGAGAAGGAGGCAATGTGATATGGAAACATAGACTGAAGTGATGGACTTTGAAGATGGAGGAAGGGGACACAAGCCAAGAAATACAGGTGGCCACTAAAAGCTAAAAAAGGCAACGAAATAATTTTCCCCTCAGAACCTCCAGAAGCAACCAGCCATGGCGACATCCTGACTTTAGCAAAGTGAAAATTCAGACTTCTAACCCTCAGATATGTAAGAGAATAAAAATGTATTGCTTTAAGGCACCAAGTTTATGTAATTTGTTACAGCAGCAATAAGAAAATAATATACAATCTATCTTAAAAAATTCTGACTTGATTCAGAGCTACCTGAATTCATGTTGATGTGGGAAGAAAGACCATCTATGCCTTAATCTGCTAGTGTTCTAACACCTACCAGAACAGATAAATTGCTGAAATAACATACGGAAGCTAAAATTTAAGAACCAAAAAACAGCACCGCAGTCAAGACAACTGACTGACTACTATGTGTCAGGCACGGAGTTGAGAAAACTAAACCAAACCCACTGCCGTCAAGTCAATTCCAACTCACAGAAACCCTGTAAGACAGAGTACCAGTGCCTTACAGGGTTTCCAAGGCTGTAACCTTTATGGAAGCAGACTGCCACATCTTTCTCCCATGGAGTGGTTGGTGGATTCAAACTGTCAACCTTTCAGTTAGCAGCCAAGTGCTAAAGCACTGCACCACCACGGCTCCTTGTGGAATTGAGGATATGGCATAAAAGACACAATTCTTCCTTTCAAGAGGGGTTCAGCCATACATCTATGATCAACTGATTTTTGACAAGGGTATTAACTCCACTTAATGGGAAAGGAAGAGTCTCTTCAATAAATGGTGCTGGGAAACTGGATTTCCACATGAAAAAGAATGGATCAGGAGCTAAGCCTCACACCATACACAAAAACCCATTCGAAATGGATCAAGGACCTAAAAATGAAAACTAAAACCATAAAGTTCTTAGAAGAAAATGTAGGGGCAGGCTGTGGGATCTAGTGTTTGACAACATTATCAGATATGACAACAAAAAACTCTTGGCAGCAAAAGACAAAATAGATAAACGCAACCTCATTAAAATTAAATACTTTTGCACATCGAAGGACTTTATTAAACAAAATGAAAAGACAACCTACGGACTGGGAGAAAAGTTTCAGAAACCATGTATCGGATTTTTAAAAAACCCACTGCTGTCAAGTCGATACCAACTCATAGCAACCCTATATCGGATAACAGCCTATTATCCAAAACATATATAAAACTCCTACAACTTAACGTTAGAAAAGACAAACAACCCAATCAAAAAGTGGGCAAAGGACTTGTACAATTCAGCAAAGAGGATACTCAGACGGCCAGCAAGCATATGAAAAGATGTTTAACGTTATTAGCCATTACCAAAAAAAGATGAAACACGTTCCTGTCAAGTCAACTCTGACTCTTTATGAGTCGGAATTTACAGAGTAGAACTGCCCCATAGGGTTTCGAAGTTGCGGCTTGGTGGATTAGAACTGTCAACCTTTTGGTTAGCAGCCATAGCTCTTAAGTACTGTGCCACCACAGCTCCCATTTGTTGTTGCTGTTAGGTGCTATCGAGTCGGTTCCAACTCATAGTGACCCTATGTACAACAGAACGGAACACTGCCCAGTCCTGCACTATCCTCAGAACTGTTGTTATGCTGACCCATTGTTGCAGCCACTGTGTCAATCCATCTCGTTGAGGGTCTTCCTCTTTTTCACTGACCCTCTACTTTACTAACATGATGTCCTTCTCCAGGGACTGATCCCTCCTGATGACATGTCCGAAGTAAGTAAAATGAGTCTCGCTATTCTTGCTTCTAAGGAGCATTCTGGCTGTACCTCTTCCAAGATATATTTGTTCGTTCTTTTGGCAGTCCATGGGAGACACAAATCAAAACCACAATGAGATATCACCTCACTTCCACTGGAACAGCAACATTCAAAAAAATGGAAAACAAGAGATGCTGGCGAGGCTGTGGAAAAATTGGGACCCTCATCCATTGCTGGTGGAAATGTAAAACGGTTGAGCCACTGTGGAAAACAGTTTGGTAGTTCCTCAAAAAGCTGAACATAGAACTACCATTTGACCCAGCAATCCTAATCCCAGGTATACACCTAGAAGAAATGAGGCAGAAACTCAAACAGAAACCTGCACACCAATGTTCACTACAGCACTTTTCACAAGAGCCAAAAGGTGGACACAACCAAAATTTCCATCAACAGATGAATGGATAAACAAAAAGTGGTATATACATACAATGGAATATTACGTGGCTACAAAGGGAAGTGAAGTTCTGAGGCATGCCACAACAGAGATGAACCTGGAAAACATGCTGCATGAAATAAGTCAGTCAAAAAGAACAAATAGTCTATGATCTCACTTACATGAAAATAAGCAAATACATAGAAACCAAAGATTATTAATGGTTACCAGAGATGGGAGGGAGAAGGAAAGGGGAGTTTTTGTTTGGACTGCACTGAATTTATGTTGAATATTTTGGAAAAGGACAGCAATAATAATGGCACAACATGAAAAATGTAATCAATGCCACTGAATTATAAATGTGGATGTTGTTGTACTGGCAAATGTTTTGGAGTGTACATTTTCACCACACAAAAAAAGGAGCTTCAGTCTGTATACTGCAAAACTACAGGAAGCATCATACATACAAAGACTGGAATATAAGCAGTGTATTCCAAGACTTGTACCATGCACCAACTACAAAGCCTTAAACAGTAGCTGTCATGAAAATGCAAACATAAACACAATATATATCATTTTCAAAGAAGTGGGAATATCTGAATCTCCCAGAGACGTATATACATTGTTAAAACAAACTCAAATTCCTAATTATACATTTGAAAACAAAAGTTTTATAACGCAAAATGCATAAGATGATCTTGCTTAATGGAAATACACAAAAACAATTTCTCAAACCAAAGAAGGAACATTATGGTAAAGAGAGAACAGAAAAATGTATTTTCACATTTGAGGTGGTAGGAATTTAAAACCTTCAGGAAGCAGTTTGGAGTCCATATAACGATAAAGGAGGTAAGTATAAGTAGGGGAAATAAAACGTGGCAACTAACTCTTCTTAGAGGGAATCAGAAAAGTTTTCACTGAAGAGATGACTCTTAAACACAGGTCCTGAAGAATGAGCACACATTTACTAGTACGCAGGAGGGGGTTTACTCAGCAGGCCTGTGTTGCTCAAACTCTGCACATTCCCAGGAAAGGCCAGTCTTCAAAACTGGCCCTTGACCCAACTCCTGGGAGATGACCTCTGAGTCCTTGGAATATTCTGCAGATAAGAGTGGTTTTTGTATGCCTGAGGCCTTGAGACAAATTGTATCAGTTTGTCCAGACAGTTTGTACTAACAATGTGATTTATGGTGAATTCTTGTTTTAGTATACCTAAAGCCTTGGATAATGCTGAACATCTGACCTCTGAAGAGTAGAGTCAGTTAGTCGATACTCGTCACACAGGCAATAACCATCCCTACCCTTCTATCCACCCTCCTCCCCCAAAAAAACCCTAGGCACGAAGGCTCAGATGAGGTTCCCTGGTTGGTAATACTCCATGCATACTGTTAAACATTACTGTGGGAAGAATTAAGTGTGTCACCACGCACCTCCACTTGGAGGGGACACCAAGAAGCTTGCACCTACTCTTCCCTGGACTTTGTACCATGCACCTAATGATTTTAATCTGTACCTTCGTTGTAATAAACTGCAACAGTGAGTATAACAGCTTTTATGAGTCCTGTGAGTATTTCTAACTAATTAAAAGGCCTAAGGGTGGTCTACTCAATTGGAAAAGGAGGAAACAGCACGCAAACAGAGAAAATATCTGCAAAGTTCACAAATAGAGGGGAAAATAGTAAGCTATACAGATAGCAGCAAACATATCTATACAGTAATGTGCCACATAACCTATTCAGGCAACATCTGACCACATATATGTCCGTTGTCCCATAAGTTTATAACAGAGTTCCGAAGAAATACTTCCAAATACACTAAAACATCTTTAACATAATAATACAGTAATAATAATGTTTCGATGCACGTCACAAAGTAGTGCCTGTTTGTTACTATAAACCATTCACGTACCTTGGATTTTTAATATAATAGGCTTTATGGGAGTTAGTTTGTAACTGCGGGTTGTACGTAAGTAGGACATTCATAATCCAGGGACTGCCTGTAATATGGTGTTAGGACAACGTCCAAATCACATAATGTCCTAATACATTTATGTATACACACACACACACACACACACACACACACGCACATGCACACACACAATACCGAGAAATGGTGGAACGAGGTGAAGCAAGGCACATAAATCAGCACGAGCAATTTCAAGAAATTTACATGGAAAAGAATAACTAAACAGTTAACAGAAGAAACCCAGAGTACACAAGGTGGGAGGGAATACATCTAAGAAAGAATCTTATTTGCCTTAAACATTTCCAGAGAAGCTGGGAATTCAGAAACTTCAGGCATGAGAGAAGTCCTAATGAGACATAAGGGAATAAATTCAAGTCTGTATTAAACAGCCAATCCCACTCTTAAACTGACTACTTACATCTCACAGGTTACCCAGCAGCCAGGATGTCTTAGTCCCGAAACAATATTAGGGTTTTTCTCTATTTGCTTCTGTAGTTATTAATAATTACAGGCAGTCCCGGGTTACGAACATCCAACTTATGTACAATCCTTGGTTACAAACCAAACTCCATAAAGCCTATTATATTAAAAATTCAGGACACATACAATGGTTCATAATAACAAACAGGTGTTACTCTGTGACGTGCATTAAAAGATTATTATTATTATTACTGTATTATTACATTAAAGCTGTTATAGTGTATCTGGAAGTGTTTCTTTAATGTTTTTTATGCACAGAAAGGTATACTAAATACTATATACTAAGACAAACATTTGATTACCTGACGTTAGATATGAACCATACCTAACTGTTTCGACTTACATACAAATCTGACTTAAAGACAGATTTAGGAATGGAACTCACTGATAATCCGGGGACTGTCTGTATATAAATATTTGCTTTAAAACAAGAACCACCTTACAGTTAGTTTCCAAGTGAGTTCATGAGTGAGTATGCCCTTATAATTAGTGTAGACCAGATGAGTGTGCTCCTGACTCACTCAGTGCTAGCTGCCATGCTAAGTTTTGATCATTATACAAAACTGTAACCAGACTCCAAAGCCAATAATACTCCTGAGCCGATTTTTTCATAATGCTTCTAGAACTGATTTTTTTATTACTTCAAAGCTCAAGTTCTGAGAGACCCATTCATGCCTTTCAAACTGGTTCCTTTTACATGCCAACTCACTAAAATCTTTAATTGCCAAGGGATGGGGAGTAGGGAGAGACACACTTTTTTAAAAGGTCAAAATACAAACTCGTTTACCTCTACATGGTTAAGCAGAATTTAGTTTTATTAAGTTGATTTACGTGCTTCCATCTGAGATGGACAACCAAGCAAATGTGTAAAGACCACTCAAACCATAAGACAAATTCAGAAATGGCTAAAATATAACGAAGTATATTTTGAAAAGTACGTAATTGAGCCCGAAAGCCAGAATAAGAAACTCTGAAGTGCCAGAAACATAATGGAACTCAAAGCACAAGTGGTAAGGCACTGAAACAAGTGGCCCACAAGGATTATCAGTACTACTGGTGGAAGAAGGAAGGAAGACACAGCTTAAAATGTGAAACTGAACCCCCTCCATAAAACTATGGGGCAGGCTTTAAACATCCTACTGCCTAAAATCTTTGCCAGCCCTAGACACAGCCACAAGAAGTCAGAACCCCAAACACGCTCTACACATATATACATATGTAACTAAATATTCTACAATCTGCATAGTACATAGAAACTTTAAGCCAAGAAAGTAATAAGAACAAGTTGAAGTGGAACCTTACAAACACAGAAACCAATTCACAAGAACAGGTCCCAACCACGGACACAAGTGAGACTCCCTCCCGGTGAAGATAAGTTCACAGAATAAAACTACAAAGCACATAAGGAAAGCTCAATACTATCAGAGTGGGTCACACAATAAACAAAGAAGTAACAACCTAGGAACCACAGATAATAAAGCAGTTTGAAAAAGACTTGAAATATTTTTAAATGTTCAGAGAGATAAAAGAACAAATAGAATCTATGAAAACGAGTAGATCTGGAAAAGAATCCATGAGAAAAATCATGATCATGGAATAAAATCAAAACACAAGTTAAACAGTAGGCAAGAAATAACTGAAAAGAATCAAGATAAAAGACATCTGAAGAAATCTCACAGAATTCAGCACAAAAACGAAGACAGATGGAAAAAGAGAAGTTAAGAAACCTAAAGAACTGAATGAGAAACATAAGCAGGTGTCAATCAGAATTCCAGAAGTTCATGAATAAAATGGTATAGAATGATAAAGAGACAATGTCTGATAATTTCAGAACTGAAGAAATGAACCCTCAGATTGCAAAAGCAATCCAAGTCCTCAACTGGATAAATAAAAATAAATCCACAACTATATATACAAAAAGGAAAATACAGAACAAAGATGGAGGATAAAAAATCTTAGCAACTACTAGCAACAAAAGTTCCAGTAACAGAAGAAAATCAGACAGCAAATTTCTCATCAGTTAAAAAAAAAAAAAGAATAATATCTTCAAAGCTTGGAGGGAAGAAACTGTCAACCAGAATTTTACATCCAGATAAAACTATTATTCAAGAGTAAGAGCAAAATACAAGTTTCAGACATATTACTTATTACTATAAGAACTAGTAAAGTATTAAATTGAACCATATAAAATTGCCAATATTAGACCACTTTCCAACTACAAATACGGCAAGTTTATATGGTTTGACTTAATGTTTAAGAAAACAGAAAAATACTTAGAAGGAAAATGGAAGAAATAATAAGCGAAGACATCAATAAAACACGTTAAGTCTAAATATGAAGTGACTAAAAATGAATACAGATATAAATATTAATTTGGGAGGTTTAAAAAAAGATAAAACTGAAATATGAAACTACAATAACCCGTTCTATTATAAATAAGCTTTAGTTTTAGAAAAATCATTCTAGTTACAGTATGAGGAATAAACTAAGAGACTAAAAAGATCAATTAAAAATACGTTAAAAATTTTCCTTAATTAGGTGGGGACCTTAAAATTCAATCACACAAAACAGAGAGTCAAGTTGTTGGAAGTGAAATATAACTATGCAAGCCTGCTCAGCCAGCCAATAACAAGTTTCAGAGGTAAGACTGCAGTTTGGTAACACGCTGAAGCTACTGCTCTGAGGACTGCACTTTGAGGACAACTGCTCTAAGACATCTGCAGTAATTCCAGAAAAATGGTGTTGGTACCACTTTTTCTGTCTGAGTCACAAAAAC